TGTCTGTAAACCCAGGCGATCTGATACCTTCATACCACTGCACATAAAATTTTTTAAAATTCTATGTGGGAAAAAAACATGATGATTTAGGGATAGTGCAAGAACAGCAGCAGTTGGCATCTCGATGATCTACTGGGCATGTGCCGCCTCTTTCTGAGACAACTATAGAGGTGGCTGTGGTAGGTTTCAGAAGAGTTTAGATGGTAGGCAGGTCTGTGACCACTGCTAGTCAAGAGGTGGGAGGCAAGTCCTGTGAGTTGTGCCTCTTTACATTCATTAAGGACTCACCACAGTGAGTGACCTTCAAGTTTTCTAAGATTCCTTCCCTCCCCTGCCTCCTCTTCCCTCCCCTTCTTTCTCTCCTTCCCTCTTTCTTCATACTTCCTATCTTCCTTTTGAGTTTCTCTATCTTCCAATTTACTTACCTCTTCCCAGAGTCAATTTCAAGATTTTCCAGCCATTATTATTCAAATACTGGAGACCCATTTCTTAGAAAAGGTTCATGTGAAATAATTCCAAGGCTCATGAAGAGTCATCCTTACCACGAATCTGTTTCAACAGACCATGGAAGAGCCGATGAGGTGGAGAATTCAGAGATGGGTTCGATGTTTATCAATGCCTGTTTTATTTGCCATCCTGGAGCATCATCCCTTCAGGCAGGTGTAGCCTTCCTCAGGAGGAAGGGTTGGTCCAAGAGGCTTCTGGAACATGACTTTGCTTCTTTCATGGAAAGAATGACAGGGATGGGTGTGTGTGTGTGAGGAGGTAACTAATACACTGTCACTTGAAGTGACTGTCCTGATCTTAGTCTGACCAATTCAGGTCTGGATGATTCTTAGTGTTTTTTTTTTTTTTTTTTTTTTTTTAAAGGGCAATTGCGTCATTCTTAGTTATTCAACTGAGCCAAGAAGGAAGATTTGAGCAATTGTTTTCTCAAAAGGTCTCTAGAAGAAGTAGACTTGCAACAGTTATCTCAAAAATAAATTTTTATTTAGATAAATGTACAGTTCATTTAGAGAAAAATAATTATCTACAGGTCAGCAGGACTGGATGTGTTCCAACGTGTGCCTTTACAACAGTGACAATCCTAAGGCAATGGTCAGGTTGTGTGCATGGGCCTCCAGAGGCATCACATGCTCTGAAACCATATTTTTAGTATGAATTTAGACAGTTTTGTGAGAACCAGTCATTTTGTTCAAAAACATTCTTTTCTCCCCAAGTGTTCATGTAAATTGAGAAACAGCCAGGTGTTAGGGCAGATTCTAGAACATTGAGATCCGTTTTGAAGTCATAGCACCATCATTCCGTGAACTGCCTCAGAACTGAGAATTACTTTGTGGTAGCATGCTTTCTCCTGCTATGCTCTGCTAGGGAATGACATCATGTCTCCAAGTTCCTGTACCAAATCTGCATCTTTTTCTTTAAAGCTATCCCTTGATGGTTACCAAGTCTAGCATCTTGAAGTCATGGCTTAAGTGAATTATACTGTGCTGTTCATGGTACCATGCTGGCTTTATAGTTGCAAGCACCATCATGCTGGATGGTCAGTCTAGAACAACTAAAAAACTGCAGACATGTTCTACAATCTGTAGGGAATTAGATTCAGCAAACATATAATGTGATATCCAGCTTAACATTTGCACAGGACAGCATCCTCTCTCTCCTGGGACCATGGCAGTGTATTTAGTTTGGAATATCACATGGTTTTTAGCCTTAGCTTGCACATCTGTAGAATAAAGATACTTGCCTATTAGAGTTACTGTGAGGATCTAAGGAGATGGGAAAACACTTATTTAGCAAATTAAGCATATGTTAAGAACTGAAGGGCCATCAAAAACACTTAGACAGCCATTTAAAGTCACTCCGCAGGTGCCAATCTGTGTTTCCATATCCTAGGAGAAGCAGTCAAAGATTGAGGCAGACACATAGATACAGCTATGATTCTGAGGTTTAAACCATATCGCCCTTTAAGGCCTTTCACCTGTATGAAGTCAAATCCTTCCTGAACTTCAGACTTTGGTGTGATGGGGAAAAACTATGCACTTAGAAAGGCTCTTGCTACTCAGTGATTGAGGATGCTTGCAATGCTCACTGGGAAAGTCCCTTGCCAGTTCTCAGGCTGTGACAACACATACTGACAGTGATATACAGTACGCTTGCCCACATACACCAAATGCCAGACACTGCACCAAGCTCTCGGAGTCCCCTGTTGTATCCACCCCATTGCTCCAGTTCATCCCTATCATTTCCACACTTTCAGGGATGGTCCCTGACTTGCCCAAGCTAGCACACCTGGGGCAGAAATATGTGCTGTTGACATAATGTGAAGAACTCTAAACATCCCCACCCAGCCGGCCATCTAACTCTGCCCCTAAGCACAGCCAAGAAGAAAGCCATTCTTGAGATATCCCAGAGTTCCTGCAGAGCCCACGCTCCCCACTCTCTCCCTGCCTCATACTTGTCCCAGGGTCCACACAGACACATACAGGGAGACTCAAATGGACTCTGGGTCTGTGGTCCCGCTGCATTCCTTCCTGTTTCATGGATGAACCAGGTTCAGAACACTAAACAGACTGAAGTGGCCCAGTAAAGAGATGCGACATGTGATCACAAACCTCAGTTTAGGATTCTCTACTAACTTACATTCAGCTTTTCATTGGTGAAAGCAGATGGGAATGAGATTCCTACAAAAATGGTGGTTATTGTCCTTTCTATGAAGAAGCTCTTGTGAGCTGAAATTTCTGTGAACAAACAAACAACAATAAAACCCCAACAACTGTCTCATCTTCTAAGTCATCTCCTTTCTCCTTGACAACAAGGCACCTTCCCAGACTTTTTTTCCATTTCTGGAATTTACCCAGTTTAAGGGTTTAGGATATGGCTGAAAAAGGGACACAATAGTCAACCTCTTCAAAGAAGGCCAAACACTGGCTTTAGAAACGAAGGGCTCAAAGTTCTGGATAGGGAGTAGCATTTTGTTTTGTTCTTGAACCTAAGTAAGCAAAGGGTCTGTGTTTTTTTTTTTTTTTAATTTGTTTGTTTTGCCACAAGTGAAAGAAGAATCATGGTGTTCATTTGGGTTTAAGGGGACATGCTGTTCCAGTAGGAAAGACTTAACTAGGTAAGAATGGTAGGAAATCAATTCCCTTTAACTACATGATAGATACATGGGAAGCCCTCCAGTATCTTTGGGTTGGAGTAATGTTAAAAGTTAGACAGTAGGTGGGTTTCAGGTTTCTGTCATTTTCCCAACTGAAAAGTGACTCCTTTAACTGGTTAGCAACCATGCTGTTTAAACCCTGCCTAACATTCTAGAGAGGGGATGTCTGGGATCCAGGCAAGTGCCCAAGTTGAAGCATCAAAGCATTATTTTGCCCCCTGTTTGTCCACACCCAAAGGCTCTGAAATGATGCCAAATCTTCAAAGTAGCTATTAGGATATTCTAAGGGAACTGGTGAGTGACTAGGCCTACTTCTTGCCATGGAGCATGTAGCTTCCTATAACCTCTTAAAATTTAGTTCTCAGAGACTTAGCTGGGTTTCTTTCCCAGGGTCTACAAATCTATTGATGTGTCTACCTGTTGCAGATATTCCTCAAGTCCCTTGAGGTTCCACTAACTGTTGCCTCATACAATAGGCTGGTTTAATTATAAATATCCTTTCTAAGAACTTGCTGTTTCATATTTCACCTCTTAATGTATTATCCACTCCATTAAACTCTAGAGATACAGCCAACTTACATCAATCCATCTCACATATAGTTTTTAATATCTTGTTTTGGTGATAAAGGTCAGGGTTCTCATCCCTTGTGAACTATTCAGTAACAGTCTCACCAGATAACTAACTACTCCAGCAATACTTAACAATGCTCTATCAATATTTAAGAACTCATTTTTTTTTAAAAAAAAGACTTTGGGCCTTTTAAAATACAGTAAGTTTTATCTAATTGTTGGGTTTTTGCAGAGGAGACAAGATTTATAAAAATAAAATGACCGTGTTGGTTTTAGATGCTAGCTTAGCCACTTCATCCCCAAGGAATCAGCGCCTCCCTCATAATGGAGTTACCAGAGCATCTTGGATGTGCTTTAAGCCTTGCATCTTTCTTCACTTGTAGGTGTCCTGAGACTTCAGAGTAAGGATGTGATGGAAAACAAACAAAACTTCCCCCTTGACACAGTATCACTTTCCCACCTCCAACTCCTTATCTGTTCTTCATAAAAAGCGGCACAAATTCCCCATAGGAAGAACATGTCTACATGTCCAGTGAAATAGATTGACAATGTGTTAAATACATTACAATTATACTCTCCCTGAAGCCACATTAGAATACTCTTTGTCAAACTTTAGGTTATATCAGAACTACATGAAGAGTTTGTGAAAGTTCATTTTCTTGGTCCCCATCACTGCAGTTTCGGATTAAGTAGGTTTGGGGTGAGGCCCAAGAATCTTCATTTCTGTTAAGTTCCTAGTAGCTGATGCTGCTGTTTCTGGGGCATGCTGAGAACCACGACTTAGACTGTTGAACAACAATGCTGCCTAGCATCCTTCCTACCCATCTTCATGGTAAAACAACTCAGGTTCTTGTAACAATAAACCCTTCACCATGCCCATAGAAGGCACTTGTCTTTGACCTATAATAATGACAGAACATGAACAACAAAGCATGAGAACCTGTGGGAATCTTAGCAGGTGTTTCTAGATCATTGTGGAAAAAAAAAGTAGGAAAAAGGAACCTTCTGTGAACAAAAGGAATTCTTGGAAGATGGTGTCTTTTATAAAATAAGAAAGATGTGGGCTAGGGGTAGTGGGGCACACATGTAATCCTAGAAGCTGGGAAGCTGAGGCAGGAACATTGCAAGCTTGAGGCCAGGAAGGAAGAAAGGAAGGAAGGAGTGGAGGAAGGAAAGAAGGAAGGAAGGAAAGAAGGAAGGGAGGAAAGCAAAGGAAGGTGTTAAATTTGGAGGAACAAATAATAAATGGTACCCATTTCTTTAGTTAGTTTACAAAAGATACTAGCCGATTATGAGCTAGCTATACAACACCAAGAGCTATAGCTCAGATGTCTAGAACATTTGGTGAGACACAGGCTGTTCCCAGTCCATCTTAGAGGAATAATCAAAACCATGGTTAAGCTGTGTGGTTTAATTTTTTAGCACTTGAAAAAAATGTACAGTAGTTTGAAGTCAGTCTTTGCAAACCTCCACAGAGGTCAAAGATTTCATTCATACGTACAAAATTAGTTTACAAATTTTTTTTTTTTTGGCAATTTCATCTTAGTAACCCGTTTTAACCTATTGCCATTGTCCCAACCATTGAAAAAGTTTACAATAATTTACATAGAAATATCTTCAAAGTGCTTAAGAATAGTGATTGTTCTCTGGGATATGTACAGGTGGCCTATACAATGTATGTACAGGTGGGAGTCACTATAGCACAAGGTTCATTGCTGGAATATGGCTTTCTAGGGAAAGTGCATATTTGGCCAGAGTTGGCAATACTGTCTAGAGATTCAAGGGTTACAGACACTTGGTAACCACATCCAAAGCTGAAGTAGAATGTGGCCAAGAATATTTACAAAAGGAATATAAAAATGGTGAAGCACACAAACTTGATCCACGGAAGGATATCTTGATGTTCTTCCAGATGGGTGGAAAAAAGGAGACTTCAGCGCTGGCTTGGTTACCATTCCGGAGTGGGGTGTTACTGGTTCAGACCTCAGCGGTCAAGACTTGTTCAGAGGTCAAGCCAGATCATCATCTGTGCTGACAACTGATATCTGCAGAGAAAAGAGGGCTCAGGTGGGCTTGGTGGTGCTGTTAGCAGCTCAAAGTGGACTTTGAGTTGGCCATTCACAGACCCAAAGAATTGGAGGCCAAACGCATAAATTGTATTTGTGTCTGCAGCCTGAAAAATCTGAAACCCCAAAGGGCTCCTAAATTGGGAATTTTCTGAGTAGCACCATGACACTTTCAGCAGAAAATTCCACACCTTACCTTTTGTTATTGGCTGTGCTCAAAATGAACACACATTAAAATATTACATAAAGTATCTTAGGCTTTGTAGATAAGATTAAATGAAACAAATGGATTTGGGGTTCAGACTTTTTATATACACAAAAATTCTAAAATCCATTCTCCCCCGTCTCCCCCCACTCCAAAATTCTCCAACCCTGAACACTTCTGGTACCAAGTATTTCAAATAAGGAGTACATAACCTGTACCTGCTTGCTAGGAGAAATAAACAGAGTGATTTGTTCTACTTAATAAGTGTAAATCTTGGAAACAATGTGAAGATACCTAATGTGAAGTGAATGCTATTCCATGTTTCCCTGGAGAACTTGCAATGGCAGTGTTAGGCACATTTAATTTATCATGGTCCTGAAATGGAGGCCAAATATGCACTTGGGTTTTGAGGGGAAGAACAAGGGATTGCTGTTTTTGCTCCTGCAGAAAGCTGTCACTCCTGGGTGGGATGGAGCACCTCTCTAAGGAAAGCATTTAGTACTTTAGGCTAATTGAATCTCACTCAAGCTGTTGACTTTCAGCCAATTCCCCTATACACAATCCTCATATGCCCACTCTGATTTACCTTTAGCTACCCAGTGTGCAAGGAGTTGAAGTTTAAAAACAAGCCAGTTGGTTCATACTGCTATTTACATGTCATTTTTATAATCTAAAATAATGACAAATAGGACTTACCTGCCTTCCTCTGTGGGTGAGATGCTTATCAACTGACTGTTTTAGTGGGTCAGACATTTAGCATCTGACATGCATCCCAGTAGATAAAGTGTCTGGAGTCTACATGATCCTTCCCAGCCCAGGTACCCATGGCTAGAGGTTCTGACTTCCTTTGAAGAGACTAAAGTCAAGCCACAGTGAACACAGACAAAGCAGACTTACTGCTGGGTACGTGTGTCCGACAGAAGCACTGTGTCTACCGATGTCTATTGAGAGGTCCTCTTCAGTGGTCTTCAAGTACACAGGATTGTCAAAGTTCATGCTTTTCATGTTTTTATGTTGCCAATTCCGCCACATCAAGTACCCACCTACTGCTGCCATTACCAAGAGCACTGAAAAAAAAAAAACATCAAAAGTGAAGTCTAATAGTCATGGATCTATGGTAATTGATATTAATAAACATTGCATGTCTTAGGGCGCTTGAATAAATGGAAGTTGGTATACGAATGAGACAAATTTTTGAAAATTAGTTCAGGTTGTGTGAATATTTGCATTGGAGCTTTACACACCCAGGGAAGTGCAGAGTCCTGAGGTCCAACCCTAGGCCAACTTCATGAACATTACAGAAGCCTTTGTAGTGCTAGTCAAGTGGTTCTGGTATGTTAGGTAAACCAGTAAGCCAGGTCAAAGGGACATTTAAATCAAAGCGCCTTAGAATTTGCCTGAAAGTGGCTTTAGAAGTCCTTTCCTCTGAATTTGGAAATCTTTAATTACTTTAAATGTACCCTTTACGACTGGTCAGTGGTGGTGTACACTAATTCTAGCACTCAGAGGCAGAGGCAGGTGGGTCTCTGTGACTTTGAGGCCGGCCTGTTCTATAGAGCTAGTGCTAAGGCTATGCAAAGAAACCCTGTCTCAAAAAAAAAAAAAAAAAAAAAAAAAAAAAAAAAAATCAAAATCAAAAGAAACAACACACTCCCTCCAGTTTTCTAACTCTTCCAAAAGAGCATTTGACCCTTTGTTTACCTCTTTGTGAATCATCATATACAACAAATGGGACTAGAACAAAACTCTCGCTAAAGGGACTTCCTCCATGTAGTATAGTGGCATCTTATCATCCTACATTGGGTACCATTTGTAGATGGTATTTCTGTCTCACCTGCTCTAACCACCCTTCAGGCCCAAATAAATACACATTCTTCTATTAATTATTAAACTATTTGGCTGATGGATTAGGCTTCTTACTGGCTAGCTCTCTCTTAATCATTAACCCATAACTATTAATCTATGTATTTCTACATTGTCTTATCTTACTGGAGAATGGCTTGCGTGCACTATTCCCAGTAGCAGCATGGCATCACTTGGCTTCTCTCTCCCTTCTCTCCCGCATTCTTCTTGTGTGGTACCCCACCTATACTCCTGCCTGGCTACTGGCAATCAGTGTTTCATTCACCAACCAATAAGAGAAATATATATGGGCATCCCATTAATGTAGGGATAAGCAAGTCTAACAAGCTTGACACAGAAAGCAGTAAGACCTGTAGGCAATTGGTGAATATTCACAGGTGTCCATAATCATGGAAAAGATACCAGTGAAGAGTAGGTACCAGGAGTTGAGGTAATGAATGCAATTCAGTGTCTCAGGTGTTATGATAGCATGGGAGACCACAGGAAGGAGCTGTAGACAAATTAGAACTCCTATGAGGTCTACATGAGAAGTGAATTTACTTACAGAGAGGAAGGATGGCCCAAGCAGCTGAAGTTCCTTTTGGGGGAACACTGACCTCGGATACTGCTGTGGTCACATTGATCCCTGCAAGGACATACAAGGAATCAGTCTATCAGGATTTGAATTACGACTTAGAAACCTACCCATCAGCTAGAGATCCTCATATCTTTGTACCTAATATTGATCTCTAGTAGACACTGTAATTTCATACCAGAATAATTTGGGATTAGGATTATTTGAGTTACATGGCCATTTCACCAACAGGTTTAAATAAGTCAGAAAAATCCAGGATATGCAGGTTCCAAAGTCTTTGGACTTTAGGCACAAGTAGCCAGTTGGGGCAGAGCCAGCAGTTAAAGGCTGCATTAATTATTTAAGCGGCAGTTAGTTGAGATTAACAGTTTGCAGTACTGGACCCAATACCTCCAGGAACCAGTCCACTAGTACGTAGAATGTCTGTTGTGTTGATATCTTTTGTCTCACTGTAAGTCACAGGAGTTGAAGTACCTGGGTTATAAAAACCAAGAACCTGGTTAAGATTAAGGTTCCTGAGTGGCTGGCTGTAATAGTCCAGAGAAGTCATGACAAAAGGTTATTTTAAATCCAGGTAAAAGAGACAACCCACAACAGAACTAGGCTGTAAAGTGGATGCATCTGAGTGGACAGAAATAGCCAGTTTTAAGCAAAATCCAGAAACATATGAAACTTCGGGCAGAGTAGTCAGCATGTAGAAGTTGACAACTCAAAAACAATTCCTAGCCACACCCACACCGATTCTCTGTTCAAAACCCCAGGCTCCTGAGTGACCACAGATGTTCTTGAAAATGCTCTGGTGTGCCACACACATCAAGTACTCGTGTACTTATTTTCTCATTAAACTGAGTAAGTACCTATTATGGTACAGAATGATGCCACTAAGACATCACCCTGTGAGCTCCTTGCTTATGGTCAGCAAGTTCAACTTGCTGCTTAATCAAAAGCTGATGACAAAATATTAAAGTTTAAGTCCAGACTACTTGAGAGCTTAAACTTATATCATCTACTGAGGTCAGTAAATATTCTATAACCACAGCCTCCTTCCTCAAATGTCTCCAGCGTATTCATTATTATGCTCTCTGTGGAGGACTTTAAGTACCTGAAAATTGGCTAGGTCAGGCTGTTACAGAGCAATGGGTACAAACTAGTGTGTGGCACACTGACATTTTAGTCACTGATAAACTCATCTGATGTTAAAATGGGGCACTTGTCAGCTCCAAAGTAGTGATATGACTGCATGCCATGAAGCAATAACACTAATAACGATAATTTTCTGAAATAGATTTCAAAGTTAACTGCAACAGAATTTCTGAAATTGAGACAGTTGTTGTAGCCACTGCCTTACAGTGCTTGTTATCCATGCTGCTTATAGTTAAAATGCAAAGAGCCTTACTTTGACACTCTCGTCCATTTTCCTCAAGATTGTACCCATTGGGACAGGAACAGGTATATTTCGGAGAGTGATCATTAATCTGTGGTGCTGGTAGGCAGAGGTATTCACATCCCCCATTCTGCATATCCTCTTCACACCAGTTTTTACCTAGTCAGGAAGAAAAGTCCTTTAAAGTAGGCTTTGCAACGTTAACTATCTATAGTCTCCATGGAAATCAGTTCTGTCAATCCTTCAAGTGAGACTAACAGTCATGAAGTATGTGTAACACTAATGTTGAATGGGTATCAGTCAATGTACTGGGAGCACATACTTAAAGATACCAGATTTAGAGGTCTTTTGGAAGTAGAGTAAGAGTTATATCTTCCATAGGTTGGTGTGAAGGGAGGTGAGGGACCAGGCCTGGCTTATACTGTCTGTTCAAAGCTTAGAGTGAGGCATCAGAAGAAGGAAACAAGTCATATTTTCTTGGCTGTATACTGACTAACTCCTACAAAGTGGAAGGGAACTCAGCCACAGGGAGGTATGAGGGTCTCATTGGGGAGGCAAGCCAGTATTCTGGGCAGGAGAAAACATGACTAGATACATTTGATGATTTGCTAAATCCTATGTAAGATAAGCCATGGGGAAGAGTAGGTGTTACTGGTTGTGTCTCTATAAATTTGCACATAGAAGTCTTAACTGCCAATACCTTAGAATGAGGCCTTATTTGCAGATACGGTATTGACAGAAGTAATCAAGTTGAGATGAGGGCTTTAGGAAAGGTCATAACCCCAAGTGTCCAATGTCCTCAGAAGATGAAGTATGGGCACAAGCATGTATTTTTAAAAGGTGCGACTAGATTCTGGGGAAAATGGCCATCTTCAAACCAAGAACAGAGGTCTGAGATAGAGCTTTTCCTTGAGTTCTCAAAAGGAACCAACTTACCAAAATCTTGACTTTGAATTTTTAGTTCCAGAATTGTGAGATAGTAAATTTCTGTAGTTTCAGGCACCCAATTTGTGATACTTTGCTACAGTAAACCTAGAAAACTAATCCTAAGGCTACTGTGGAAGCTGGTACAATAGGCTTAGCAATAGGAACCCAGAAAAAATCAAAATGAAAGCCATGCCACTCAGGGTTGAAAAGAGCTAAAAGCTGACTCTGAAGCCATTTCTCCAAGAAGGCAGGAATGAGATATTAGATATTAAGTGTGGAGTTTGGCCTAGGGTTCAAGAGGACAACGGTTCCATTTTAAAGGAAGTTGAGTAGCTAAGGAGCCAGTGGGTAGTGGGTTCTAGGTCATACTACTCCTTTAGCATGGCCATTAAAGAGTAGGTTTCTTCATGTTACCTGATGGCTGAACGAGTTCATGGTAGACAATGATATCTTGAGCATCATTGAGGTTGTTGACTAGAGTAGCCAGTTCTGACCCAGTGAATTTATTGGCACCATACACTGCTTCATTTTCTCCATCTATCCAGTAGACACGATCCTAAAACAGAACCCCGACAATTAGCATGTACATCCAAGATTGACACAAATCAAGTTCTAATATGATTTACTTGCCATGTAATGAGGTAAGATTATTTTTTTCTTTGTCATGTTTTTTATTTATTTTTTTACATTGCAATCCCATTTTCCCTCCCCCCTCTCTTCCTGCTTCCCTGACTTCCCCTTCCACCTCCCCTCTGCTCCTCCAAGAGGTTAAGGCTTCCACCTAAGAAGTATATTAAATCTGTCCCATGATCTCGTTGAGGCAGGACCAAGTCCCCCCCATCCCCACCCCACCCCTATCCCTCAGGTTGAGCAAGGCATGTCTTAGGAATGATTCTCTGGGACAATGAGTATGAAGAGTAAGGGAAGCAAGTTCAGGTTTCTTGAAGTCCCTTGAGAACTTAGTGTCTAGTGTGTGCTAGTCTTTAGGTAAAAAAATTTCAGTTGTCTACTGTTCCTTCCTCTTCCCACACACCTGTTCTAAAAGTGTCCACTTAGATGTGAGGCTCATATCTTACCTCAAATATTGTGAGTGCAAGAGGGTGAGCTAGGAACTCCAGAGATTTGAGCACTATCCTCCGATCTTGGCCATCCAAGTCCACACTGGACAGCATGTGCAACTTGGAATCTAGCCAGTAGAGGCGGCTTTTGACAAGGTCTAGGCAAGAAAATAATTGACATAATATGAGCTGTGGCTGCTATGGTTTCTATTTAAAGCTATCTAACGAATCCATTCCGTTTTATGGTTTCTTCTCTATCAGGAGTTCCTAATGGGGACACCATAATACTTGTGAAGCCATCAATAGAACCTGTAACTGCATTCTCTCTGCGGAGGCCAATGGAATGTCTAAGACTGTCAAAGTCATTGAATTGGGCTAGGTTACATTATTGAAAGTGTCAAAAAAAGGGGGCTTGTATTTTTTACTTCTTCCCAGATAATTCAGAAGGAAATAGTTACAAATTGCCACCCAGGAAAGGCTAAGACACCCATGCCTGTTGTATCCCATATTAAAAAAAAAAAAAAAAAAAAAAAAAAAAAAAAACCCAAATCCAAGACTAATTGAGTTTCCATTGCATATTAGGCCAACTAGATGACAAGCCAGCCATCCTGGCACTGGTAATTTGTCAAGTCCTCCATCTTTGTTCAGCCCCTCTTTCCAGCTGTAGATGGAACTGGAAGTGTCATTGCAAATGTAATGGGCATACCTAGTATGATGAAAGTAGTTAACAGTGATGGAGGGAGAAGGACATGCTTACCTAATGTAATTCCATTAGGCCATTGGATGTCTTCGGTCACCAGTGGACGCCTGTCAAATCCATTCATCCCTGCTTTTTCTATTTTAGCTGGCTCACCCCAGTCAGACCAGTAAACAAACCTGGAAGAGTTAAATCAGAAATGTGTCTTAGTGGCTGAGAAGAAAGAAAGCTGTGACTTAAATCAAAAGCTTAAAGAGGGCACAGAAAACTCTTGAGCTTGAGCTCTCAAGATAAATGTTGACACTTAGGGCTTTAATTATGTTCTGAGTACATGAAATTAAACAAAGGATATATACAAGGGCTGGAGGCACAGTTCAGTAGCAGAGCTCTTGGCCTACCGTGTGTGAGGCTCTGGGTCTACTCCTCAGGACTACAAGAGGCAATGATGTGATTTTGACTTTGTCTAAGCTGCCTGACTTAGTAAAACATTTAGACAGAAGTCTGTTTATTTCCATTGAACTTTCACACAATTTACATTTTTAGAGGTAAGCCTTGAGGGCACAGGGTTATACAAATACCAGTGTTTTCTTTGAATCCTAGATTTGACTGCCCAGAGCTAACCAACCCAGCAAAGTGCCCCACCCCAGCCACACACACACACCACACACACACACACACACAAACACAATTATTTGTGTAGAAGGTGGATGTGCAAAAGATTCAGACATCGCTTCTGGTGTATGTCATACATGAATTCTAAGGCATCACTAATTACACAGCTGGATAATCAGGAGTGAGACTAGGAGGCACATCACGCACAAGCTCCAGGACTTCTCTGTATTTTGTCACTCACTCATAACATTTTTTTTTTTTTTTTTTAGTATACCTTCATTATGCATCATGATTGGTTTCAAGCAGATATTTTCATTCAAGTTTATCATGCTCACACTGGAGTTTTATTTAGCCATAAAGAAGGAAATTATATCCTTTTTAGGAAACTAGAGGCAACCAAAGATGATCATTATTAGGTACAGTAAGACTCCAACAACAAACCACATCTTTTTTTCTTGCTTGCAGATCCTAGATTTTATAAAGATACATACATTGTGTGTGTGTGTGTGTGAGAGAGAGAGAGAGAGAGAGAGAGAGAGAGAGAGAGAGAGAGAGAGAGAGAGAGAGAGAGAGGCTGAAGAGATAAGGGAAGAAAGGGAATTAGCTGAAGGGTTACAGGGGAAACGTGGGAGGGGCTGGACAATGAACACTATCATTGATGTCTTGAACCAGATAATTCTGTCCCTGGGCATTCTTAGGATGTATGAGAAAAGCTCCTGACTTATGTGACTAGCATCCAAAAGGCTAAGTGAAGGAAAACAGAATACGAACCCAGACAATGGGTCCACAGCTATGGAGGCAGGCTCTCGCAAGTCAGAGTTAAACAGGAACTTCCTCTTGGCTCCGTCTAGGGTAGCTACTGAAATAGTCTTAGAAGCCGCATCAGTCCAGTAGATGGTCTTGTACACCCAATCAACAGCAATGGCTGCAGGATTATAGACATTGTCGATCATTTTAAAATGTCTACCAACCTTGTCATCAATTGAGGCACTGAAACAGAATAGGTCACAAGAAATTTAAAAGTTGTCACCATTGAACCCTGGAGAATGGAGATTTTGCTTATAAAATGGTCAAGGACTTTACTCAGAAAGATTATAGGAACCCCATAGCTCAGCACTGAAATTGTCCAGCCATGTTGCTTGGGGATGGAAAAATAGCAATATTGTAGCCTATCTAATTGTATTCTAGATGCAAGAAAAGCATTTAATACAGCAGCCATTAACCCAGGTCTACAGTTTCCACTGAGGAAAAGCCACTACCAACATTTGTATTTGTAGTAAGAAAATACAGTTCACAACTATTGGTGGGGAGAAAATATGAAGAGTTCAGATGTCATCTGCAGGCAGAGTCACCTTTTACTTCACAGCCAATGATTCATTCCTAAATAACAGCTGGTGGTAATTTAATCGCTGAAAAAAATCAGTGTTGGATTTATTACTCTCAACTAACTAGCTGGCAGACTGGAGCTAGAGGCAAGAGATGCCCCACCCGCTACCCCAATCCTTCCCACAGGCCCAATGACAGCGGCTTATATGTCCAGATGTCAGGGATACAAGTGAAAGTTACCTGAAGATAGCCTTTTGGCTCAGATCGGCCCAAAATAGCTTCTGGGCTGCAATGTCAGCATCGAGAGCCACTGTGTTTCTTAGTTGTTCTACAAGCTGGATGTATTCCTTCCTCTCTAGGCCAATCTTCCTGATGTCTCTTCGATTAGTAAAGATCAGACTTGGCTCTTTGCCTATAAGACATAAGCCAGGTTCATTTCTTTTTGCTATAAAGCAAGATCTTCTATGTCACCTCCTCCTCACAGAGGGACACTCCTAGAGATACTACTGGACATCTCAGTAGTACCCAGCCTGAAGTTCAAGCCCCGTAGTCCCGTAAGTCCTTCTACCCTATTTAGGAAGGCAGTCCTGGGTTACAGCACTCAACAGTAGGGTGGCTGATAAACAAGTTAATTTGTTTGCACTGTGCTCAGTTTCAGAAGCAGAAAGGGAGCAAATATGGCGACTGTTCCTAGTATCCTATGCAAAAGGAAAGACCAAGGCAGATACTCGGGAAGCCGATCTGCGTTAAGCTATCCTGCTGCACTAGGAGTTTAGCAGCATTGCTCTGGGGTGTGACTTTATGTGTAGCTTGACTGTTGCAGTCACTGGCTGTACCTTTTGGAATCACTAACTCATAAAGGTACCAGAGCAACACCAGCCCAAGTCCATTTACCTACTGCCTTGCACACGCCAGTGGCAAGATCCATTTGATAGCCACGACTACATTCACACTTGTAACCGCCTTTTAAGTTGATACAAATTTGACTGCAGATCCCCGGATTTTGGCATTCATCAATATCTAGGAGGGAAATTAGAATTAGTCGTGCTGTGTCTCTGCCTTACTAGATGCATGATGCCTTTCCCATGTTCTCCAGGGGCCAGGCTCTGTGCTTCAACTCACCTCCACAGGTTTTCCTGTCTATCAGCTCAAACCCGGCTGCGCAGTCACATTCATAGCCTATAACTAGGTCCTTGCAGATATGGGAGCAGCCACCGTTATTAATCAAGCATTCGTTGACATCTGGAATAAATGCGTAGCAAAAGTCACCTGGCAGCTTATTCTTTGTTTTTAATATAATACTATAGACTTATTCTATGAAACTTCCATATAGAGATTCAATGTATTTTGATCATATATACCTCCCCATTCCCCACCCAACCCTCTGAAGATGCTACACAAACATCTCCCTCCCAACTTCCAAGTGCTCATTTTGTTTCCTGTTTCATAACCCAGGGTCCAAATTAGTATGACACCTTATTCTTAACTGATAGCTGTCTTATTCACATTTAAGCTTAGGCTGCTGATGGTCTTGCTAGGGTCTGATTATTTGTTTTGTGGATAAATATTTCAGGCCAGATGATAGGCTACCAGTTAGTTATGCAGGATTTATTTGTTTTGCTATTATTTTTAGTTATCTTAAGGAGTTCTTAAACTCGGGGTTAATTTGTCACTGGGTAGAATCCCATGTCGTGACATTTTATCGTCAAGCTTATATTAAGTTTTAGTTCATTCTGAGTTCAGTGAACCATCAGGCAGGGTCCAGACAACATTAGCTCTGATGGACTGAATGGAACCTCCCAGCCCTGGCCTCAAGCAGGCCCCTCACTTACTGCATTCCTTCAGAGGCTCATCACTCCAGTCCCTGCAGTCCTGCTCCTGGTCACACACTTTGCTGATGTCTATGCATTCCCCACTTCTGCACTTGAATTTTCCAGGGCCCAAGCACTGGTTGACTATGAAAACCAAACACAGGAGAGAAGTTCCATCGTTGGTCTGACCAGAGCAACCAGTGGTCCCCCTGAACACGATGGCGAGAACCTCACCATTTTTGCAGTTGACTTCATCAGAGCCGTCCACACAGTCTCGGATGCCATTGCATTGCCTGCTGCCATGTATGCAGCTCCCATCTTCACATTCAAATTGGTCAGGTCTGCAGGTTCGAGAAGCTGTGGAAGGAGGCGACACAATGGAATGAAGCCAGCCAGAGGGTCCCCAGTCAAGACATGGAAGAGAACTGGAAAGTTACTTACGGCAGTTGACCTCATCACTGCCATCCTTACAGTCAGGGTCGCCGTCACACCGCCATTTTTTGTGAATGCACTCGCCAGAGCCACACTGGATCTCGCTGGCAGGACATTTCAGATGTATCACTGGCTGACGGCCACACTGTTCAAGAGACTCATCTGACTGGTCCGAGCAGTCCGCGTCATCATCACACACCCAGCTGAGGGGGATACACGAGGAGGTGCTGCACTGGAACTCGTGGGCACCGCAGGTGGGTGGCGCACAATCCAGCTCGTCACTGCCATCATCACAGTCATCCTGGCCATTGCACACAAAGTTCCTGGAGACGCAGCGACCACTGGAGCAAGTGAACTCGTCAGCACTACATGTTATGTTGCCTGTCAGAGGGAAGACGGTCCGTTGAAAGCGTGCATCAGCTTTTTGGGTTTTTTTGTTTGTTTGTTTGTTTGTTTTGTTTTGTAAATACAAGACTCACCACCAAATCAAATATATTGATCTCTGATGATTAATTTTAGCTCTCTAACTTAAAAGCTATAGTGCTGTTATAGTGAGAACAAGTTTCTGAAATACGACAGAACAGTTTCACAGTATAAAATAAGGTGCAGCCATACTATGTATAAGAGCAGAAATAAAGGACCAAGAAAACGGTAGAAGGCTAGAAGCTAATTTGAGATGAGAACCACAACTGACACTTAAAGGGACAGCGATTGATAGCTTAAGGTGGTATCAGGGACTTCATTTTGGAAGGCAGAGTTATACCTAGACCAACCTATTGTATGTCAGCCCAAATCACATCACTAGCTGAGAATATTCATCAGCTATACATGGGCAAGATTAAAGGGTAGTGAGGTACTATCCAAAAAGAAACAAACCATAGAACAGTCTATATGGTTCCTTTCTTTTGGGTCCTTTAAAAATATATTAGGAATACCATCTTAATAATTTCCAGTTGTTGTTTTTTGTTTGTTTTTGTTTTGTTTTGTTTTGTTTTAAGTCACTGCTAGGATCAGAATCACAGCCTAGCAACTCTGTATGCTAGTGAAGACAAAGTAGTCACAGTAGCCAGTTTAGGTTTTGATTGAAATTCCTGCCAAACATACCAAAGTCACAATTTGGTGGTAATTGGTAAAAGGAGACCACGACTCTCTTGGGAAGCAAAGTGTAGATTTGCAAGGGAAATGCTTGGCAGCTCCAGGGCTTGCCGTGGCAATGCATGAAGCTCAATTCTATGACTGAACATGAAACTCATTGGACTAGGTGCAGTGATATTGCCCCACTAAGTGACTTGTGCAGGCCAGACTAGTGTTTCACCTGAAAGACCCTGAGCTCCAGACTAATGTTTTACCTGCAAGGACCCTGAGTTCCAGATTAGTGTTTCATCTGCAAGGACCCTGAATTCCCTTAGCTTCTATTGCAGCCTGAAGTTAGGCTCATCAGACTCAGCTTTAGACGCACTCTAAGCAATGTTTTTCAACCTTCAGACTTTTCCCTAGGGCCTCACCTTTAACATGGAACACTTCATTATAGACATTTCCAAGAATATAAGTATGAAAGAGTAGGAAACAGCTAGCATTCAGAGACAGGAATCATCATAGGACACAAAGGTTAGGTAGACTTTAGGTATCTGCTGTCAATATGTTAGATCACGTTTCTATGCTAATGTCACTGTAGATTCTAGTTGGCAGAAATGATTGTATCACACTCAAGTAACTTATTCCAAGAAGCTAATCTAACTAAATCTTTGAATGAGTTTGCTGGCCCTATTGCCTTCTAGTTCTATTGAGCCAAATGTAAGGAAGGCCCATGAATTAACTGTCATAAAAGAAAAAAAGCCCACAAAGCCGCTGCCTTACTGAGGAATGCTAAATGTACTGCGCCGAATGTAAGCACCAAGATGACTTCTCTGCTTGCTTCTATCTGCCTAGAGGATATACCAGGCAGTGGCCATTTACCAGGAAAAAGGCCTTTCACTGTTTTATGGTGGTTAGGAGGACCAATATTGAGCAGACAGCAAAGCCACTGAAAAGTGACTCAGGGGCAATCTGTCTTCCGGCTTAAGTTAGCATCCCTTGCCCACCTTTCTTTAGGGAAAGGGTCTTTGGGGTATGCCACTTCACACTGGTCTTCTTACCACAGTTTTCTTCATCTTCTCCATTGTCACAATCATTTTCACCATCGCATCTCCAGGACACTGGGATACACTGAGTAGAACGGGCGCCACAGCTGACTTCATTTATGCGGCATGTTCTCATATCTGTTGATGACATACAGTCTCAAAAGAGCCTCCAAACTGCTCAGTGCAAAGCTGCTGCTCCCGTGCTGCCTGGAAGTGCAACACCTGGGACTCAGTGGTCAGGTACATGGGGCACACCGACTAGTGAAAGCCAGGCAGATTCTTCGCCAGCTCCGTCCTTAGAAACTATGCCAAGCAGGGCCACCTGGCAGGCGACCCGAGAACCTTGACCATGTCACTCCTTCAAGGCTCTGCGGCATGCTCAGCTCTGGCTTTTGTTTTACTTGGCACAGTTAAGTTGATATGTTGGCCTGCTTCTAGTCCATTACTTGTGTTTGGATATCAGTGGGCACACCAGATATTGTCACCTAATCCTGACTCTATTGAAGGTCAGATGGGCTAACACCTATGAGACCTTCTATGATGAAACAGTAGCCTTCTTAGGCCTCCATTCACATTTTTCTTTATACATGCAAAGCAGGAATAATGACATGACTTTTACCATGTCATTAACCGCTGAAACATGGGGCTGAATCTGTATAGATCCTGTCTAGGACCCTCAGGTCTCTAACTCACAAACTTGTTCACTTCTTTCTAGAAAATGAAAGTTCCACCTTGGCCATTTTCATAGTTATATCTTTAACCTAAACTTGGTTCATGTCAATCCTATTTCTTCTGTGTCAGCAGGTCTCTGCTGCAATGAATCTTCAGACATTTCTGTATCTTAACATCCAAATGACCCCGGGTTATTTGATTCCATCACTCCTTTCTCTGTGGTCTTGGGACTTTCTCCTGAATACCAGACTACAGGCAGAGAGATATAGTTGTACCTTTATGAAGTTCTTCTTACTCAGTAGCAAACTCTAAGGCCCCTGTATTAGGTTACATATTTGTTTAAAATCCCCAAATTACCCTGTTACTAATCGTCTTGCTGTTTTTTATAATAGCATGTTTTCATGATATGAACATCTGTACATTTCAAAGCTTATGTGTGACCCTTAGGAAACCTTCACATCTTGACATAAATTCCAGGATCAGAGTACCATCTACTCAGGTATTGTCAAACAGCTGAAATCTATGCACCTAGTCAAGGAGTTCTTAATTGAATATGCTGGCGTCAGTCTTAAGTATTCAATGGCGAAGCTACCCAAGAGAATGTCAGTCTTGTTAGACTAGGGGAAGCAGTCTTTAAAGGAGATGGAATAACTGTTAATAGCTTGAATGACCTTCAAGTCAGTTGGCCTCAAGTTCAAGGCAGGCAAAGAAAAATGAATGCCAAGCAATCGATAAAGCATCACTTAGAACAGAAACAGAACAGCACAAAAGAGGTGAAGTCCAAAGCAAGTCAAGGCACACTCACGGCACTGTTCTGGGCTTTCATCAGAACCGTCTTCACAGTCAGGGTCCCCATCACATTGCCATCTATTAGGAACACACTGGCCGTTTTTGCACACGAAGTCAGACTCAGCACATGTCTTCTTTACTACAAGAGTTTATACTCAGAGTTAGAATTGAAGTCAATTACCCCATATTTTGGTCTGTTTTCCTTTAAAACCAATGTAGAATCAGTTGACTGATAATTCAACTGTTGGCATCTAGGGAGACTTTAGAAAGCTTATTTTTTTTTCCCTCATAGTTTCAGAGCAGGGAGGTATTCATTGGAGAAACTTGGAGGACAATAAAATCAAGGGAAGACAAATGGCGTCCACTGTCGTATGACCTAGGGACATCTTAAAATGAACTTGTCAATTTACGATGCTAACACCATGGATTTTCTCCAACTCATTCACGAACTCTGAGGTGTTTTTCTCCAAGTCCATTTTCTGTCCCTAAAATGGAACACTTGGAGTAGGCAATTTATAAAGGAAAGAAACTTCTTTTATCTTAAGGTTCTGAATTCTGGGGATCCTAAGGGCACAGCACTAGCCCCTGCTTAGTTTTGGGTGAGGCCCTCATGCCTTGCTTTCTAGCCCACTCTCTTAGTAATTGATCTGGTTCAGAAGAAAGGATTTCTTCCCTCTCACTGGTCTAATCACTTCCTAAGTACTGTGCCACCTCTCCACACCATACTATTCACAATTACACTTCATCATGAGTTCCAGAGGAGACAAACCACGGAAAAGAGTTTAACAACCAAACACTCCATCCTATAATTGGCCCTCAGGATATCTGTTTGCAGTGGAGTGTATCTGTGTGTCTTAATAAACTTCATACCCTGACATCCCTACAGCGATGTACTAGGAGGGAGGTGATTAGGCCATGAGGATGGAGCCTTCACACGTGGGATTGGTACCCATTAGAAAATTATTCGTGTCTGTTTGTGCTCACTCTTCTCTCTCCCTCCCTCTCCTTCTCTTTCACTCTCCTTTTCCCTCTCCCTCTCTCTTATCCTTGCCCTCTCTTTCTCCCTCTCCCTGTCTCCTCCTCTCCATCTCTCTCTTTGTCCTCCTCTATCCCTCTCCTGTCCTCTCCTCACTCTCCTCTACCATGGGAGGACCCAGTAAGAAAGCAGCCATCTGAAACTCAGAAGTAGGGCCTTTATCAGACTCTAAGCAGTCTGCCACTCCTTAGTTTGCGGACTTCCTAACACCCAGAACCCTAAAATCAGATAGCCATCATTTAAGCCCCTATCCCTATGGAATTTTTGTCACAGGGGTATACACCAAGACCGTTGCAGGGACATTCTTCACAATGCATGCACTTAGTGCTGAGGTGTGCTGAGGCTTCTGAACTGAATACTGCCACTAGGATGGGCCTTCTGGGGCATCCACTAGACACAGTTAAAGCCAATTATAACACTTATAACAAATGGTAGAACTTGGAACTCAAAGAGATTTCAGGCCTTCAGCCAAGGTTTGGTTTAACATCAACCAACTGAAAGTCACTGAAGCTGCCAGTACTAAGGCCCAAAATTCACAGACCCCATTCATATAGCCTAAGGCAAAATATCAATTCTACTACTAATTCTTCCCAGGGCAGGACTTAGAGTCACAATACAATGTGCCATTCATTCATTAGACCAGGAGAGTAAAGACAAACAAACCAGGCAGCTTGCTCACAGTACCAGTGAAGGAGTCCCAGAATCTAGAATGCTTGCCAAAGCAACCAGAGAGACACCCACACCCTGTGATTGTCTTTTTAGACTAGATTCCTCCATACCTCTATGTCTATACTTTCTGCTTAAACTTCAACTTTAAAGCGTCCTTCTAATCAATAGTCTGTGTTTGTAAATCAGCCAAAGCCTGAAATGTGCTGCAAATTGAAAGGAGATCCCTTGGCATGTGGGGTTTAAACTAGGCAGAGGTCTTAGAGGCTAGAGCTTACTCTTAAGCCACTCTCATTTAGCCTTTAAACTTGGGAGATAGTCAGTTTGTAACATTCAACATGGGTTGATGAATTATGATGGTCCCTAAGGGATTATTCATATCCTTGAACTACATAGCTAAGGAACCATGGAAAACCATGCCAGCTCATAAATCCCCCCGTTTCTAAATTGCCATTATGCAGTGTTAACACAGCAAATGCTATACAAGGCTGGTGTTCTCCTGGACCCATATGGAAACAGAGACCAGGCTATAGGGCTTATTGCTGTAATTCAACCCACGATTATCTCTGTAAGTTGCAAAAGAGAGAAGAGGGGAATGGCCATAAAGAAAGCAGATGGTTTTGCAAAGTGGAAAATGTCATGATGATGTGAAAGATCAGTTATGTGACAGAGAGTCTGAGCAAAGATGAAAAGGACACATCTTCACAGATTCATCTTTCTCAGTTCTGAACGTACACTATAAGGGCAAAGAAAAGATATTCGAATCATACACAGACAGGCAGATAGAAAGTGTTCCACACAAGAGGGAAGTCATAAGATACTTCAGGAACTCACAGAAGCAAGTGACAAATGGAATGTACAATCAAATTGATTATACTAGGTGTAAGCTCAAAAGTGAATCCTCCCCAAAAATTACAACCAAGTATGGGTTGAAGGTTAGATGGGGAAGTTGGAAGGAGGCTTTGGAAGTTTTAAGTGCATCAGATCCCCTAGATCTGGAGTACAAGAAGTTGTGAGCTGCCCAATATGGGTGGTAGGAATTGAACTTAGGCCCTTGGGAAAGGTGTATGCAATCACCACCAAGACATCTCTCCAAACACACCCCTCTTCCATTTGTAAATGTATAAAGTTACTTTTAAACAGTCTCTGTCTGACTCTATGCCTGGTCTTTGAAGGGACCAGCCCCCTGCTTTAGCAGCCATGACAGGCTGCAGAAAAGACATGTAGGCCCCTGAGTCAGCACATGTCTGACTCCTTGCCCCTCCTGCCCTGGTCATGGTCACTAGGAGGTCAGAAGTTAGCTGGCTGGGCTGGGCTTTACAGTACAAGAGCACAACAGTGACATGCAGAGAGCATAGCAACCACCCTGGGAGGGCCTATAGGCCATAACAACCATTTGACCAATCAACACAAGACAGGTCGTCCAAGCCTGGAAGCTCACCAATCCTGAGACTGTCGCTTACCCCTAGACACTCCCCTTGCTCTACTCAATATATTTCCTGCCTAGTGGTTTCTCCTGGTCCTTCTATCTGCAGTGATGAATGGAGAAATGACCTGAGTTAATGGCATTAGGTCGTAAACAATAAAAGACTCTTTGCTTTTGCATCGGAATGAATCTCTTGATGATCTGGGGGTTCAGAATTTGGGCACAACAGTCTTCTCTTTCCTTTCTCAGCTTTCTATAGCACCTTTGTCTGAGGTAAGATAAACCAAGTCTTGCCCTATGAGAGAAATCCCACTAGGTGATCAAACTTCCATATTCAAGTTGACTATTGGTCAGCTGGGAAACTCTGCCTTGAAACTTTGCTGAGGCCCACTCCTCCCTCTCCAAACACTGCACCCTCAGAAAGATCACCAAAAGTCCAGACTTCTCTCCTGATGATCAAGGCCACTCCTACAGGGAGTGGTCCCTTGCTTGCCCTGCCCCCCCCCCAAAGTCATCCAGAAGTGCTTTGCTCAAATTAAACCTGGTCCTTTATTTTTTAATTCAGCTTGATTTGGCTTACTACATTGGTAGAAAGACTTAATATAATATCGGCGTATGGAAACCTTTCAATTACATCATGTCAAATACCCAATTATATGCCTCCTGATAAGTATAGATTCATTGGACTCCGAGTCACAGCAAGACTTTTAAGTGGATTTTATTTTACAGAGTCTCAATACGTCTGTCGAAACTAAAAGAACACCTGCACATGTCAATGAAATGCATAAGTCCAATCAAGAATCAAAGCTTGGTGAGAAGTGAGACTGCCCAAATCTTTACTTACCACAGTTCTTTTCATCGCTGCCATCTGCACAGTCTTCATCGCCGTCACATTTCCACAGCAGAGTAATACAACGGCCATTTGTGCACTGGAACTGGGAGTTATCACATCTGGCTCTTTTCCCTAGGATGAGGAAGGAACATTGAGTGACGCATACATAGGAGGTAAGTTAGAGATACAAGGTCCCCAAAGCCCAGGTTAGGGACAACTTCAAACTGAGCAAACCATAACATTCTAGGGGTCAACCTTAGATGGGTTTAGGGGACAGTGAACAAAAGTAGCCAAGTTCTTCATTGGCCAACAAACTAAAACTGAGCAGTAGATTTCTAGCCTTTCTCCCCGAGAGGCACAGCTGAGTTACCTTGTTCCAGGTAGTAGAATACAAAGAGAAAGGAATTATATGGCTTCTAAAAAATCCTACCACATGCTGGCCAGTAATGTTTTAGTCAGTATGTCAATATGTACCTCATCTCCAAGGGTGATCATAAAATTACAATGGAGCAAGATAATTCCCAGCATCCAGAGAACATACAGCTGAAGAACCAGTAAAAGAAAACTGCAGAAGAAAATCAACAGTGGAAGGGTTAGGAGAAGATTCCAGATTTCAAGTAGCTCAGGAATGCATTGGAGAACATGGACATCCAATACCAAGATGTCTCACTGACATAGAAGAGTGTTCATAGAGAAATGTCTGATTGAAAAGAAGAAACAGAACAACCAAGCCATCATGGTCATATTTCTGAAATGTCTGAAGGAAGGAAGAACCTGCCTCAGAGAGCGCTCCAGTCGTCTCCTTCAGGAGAGAGTCCAGAAGGCCTTACTGTTGTAGAGGATGCTGTTTGCACATTAGTGTCCATAGGGTGAGATACTGACTGGCCCGGCCCTCTATAGGCCTAGGAGAAGGTGTGTGTTCATGTGTTAGTTCTTAGGAAAAGTTTTAAACACACACACACACACACACACACACACACACACACACGAGAAAAGCTTATAAAGTAAGCATATAAAGAAAATATTTTTGTGTAGCTATACAGCATGTGTTTTAAGCTGTTTTCAGAGTTTACATTTTTAAAAAGTGGGCCAGTGAGATGACTCAGTGGGTAAAGGTGCTTGCTACTGAGTTGACCTCCTGGGTTCAAGCCCTGAAACCCAGGGTGGAAGGAAACAAACAAAAATTTGTAATGTTTAAAAAGAAAAATAAGGATAATCCATTGTTGAAGACAGAAATATTTTATAACCATTTTCTAAATTGAGGGCTCAATAATATACAGTGTTTCTAAAGTGACAGCAATGTACTAGGCCTTGGCTTTTACTTATCATTTACTCACAAGCTCACTCAGCAACTTCCAATCCTGAAAATCCATCCAAAATAATCACCCTATACAGAGGTACCATGTTAATCTTTACAGATATATTCTTTGTACCCTCTCCATGTTTAGATACATTTGGATACACACATACTTGCCATTGTGTTAATATTTAGTGCCAGTACCATGCTGTATACAGACAGCCTAGAATCCACAGGCTAGCCCACATAGTATAGGTATGAATTTCCCTAAACCAATGTGGTGGTTCAAATGGGAATGACTTCCATAGGCTCATAAATTTTAATGTTTGGTCCCCAGTTAGTGGAACTGTGTGGGAAGGATTAGGAAGTTTCAAATGCCCACACCAAGCCCAGTGTCAGCCTCTTCTACCCTGTCTCTGCCTGATGCCTGCAGGTAGACCAGGATGATTGCTTTTAGCTCTTGGTCCAGTGCCATGCCTGTCCACCAGATGCCATGTTTCCCACCATGACAGTCATAGAATAGATCCCCTGAACCTGTAACGAGCTCTCATTGACAACTGTCTGTTAATAAGTTTGGTTACAGCATCGCATAACAGCAATAGGACAGTAATTAAGACAACATTGCTGTGTGCTTTAAGTAAAGGGGCAATGGATTGCTCAACACTGTAGTTCTTAGGACGTTTCTCTATCATCATGTGATGCATGGCTATATCTCTAAAAGAACAAGGAACTCATTTTCTTTCCCTTTAATTCTCCTCAGACCTAGAGGTGAGATGGCTCAGCAGGAAATGACACTTGCTGCCAATCTTGAGTCATCAATTATATCTCTGGAACCTATAGGGTTAGGAAAGAACTATAAGTTGTCTTATGGCCTCCTATGTGTGCTATGGCACATGTGCACACATATACACACATAAATAAATAAATAAGTAAATAGATGTATTAGAAATCCTTCTTATGTCTAAAAAAAAAAAAAAAAAAATGGAACAGTGATCTTGGGCCAGTGGAATCAATCCAAGATTAATGAACCTAGCTAGGTCAGAAGCACAAGGGGCCACCACAAGACCTCTGGACCCTTCTTTGTATAAACTGTGCTTGTGTGTGTGTGGCCAACAACATGCAGACAACCCTAATTCTTTAATAGCATTTCCTGGACATATCCACAACTTTATCCAAGAGTGACACTGCTATCACAAAGAGCAAATGACTTGTGACAAAGAGAAGGTAGAAAGGAAGGATTGATAATGGTCCTGAGTCTTTAAAATGGATGCTTCCTTTGGAACATGGGTGTTCACAAACCAACTCCAAAGACAAGTCAAAAGCATCAAGAAAGCTTGGCTAGGAGGCAATGGGGTGCCATTTTTAATTCAATGACAAGAGGAGAGCAAGCTAGAGCCACAGAACTGACTCCGCTTTCCTGAGTTCAGTTGCTTTGGTTCCTTATGGATATGGCTTTTACAGAGGTGTGAACTAAGGCTCCATGGAGGCACTCCATGGCCAGGACAATCTGGGTGCTTGAATCATTAGCACATCTATCTTTCTGCAGGACCAGATTGCTTTGTGATAAAAGGTTCAGCTCTTGTCCCTTCAAGGCCTCCCTTAAATACACTGCATAGACTTACCAAACCCAGCATGAGGCCTGGGGTGCATGCAGATTGGCTGGGGGAGGGTGGTAGCAAGCCGAGAGTCTTCAGATTTCCTGCTACCTCTCTCAGTATTTGCAGCTGGGGCAGGCTGGCATAGGAACAGACAGGGCAGAGGCAAGCACAGACTGGAACTCTTGTGTGAAATAAACAGTGCTCTAGTTGGTCTCCCTAGTGTCAACTATGCCCTGTTGTCTGGGAGAATTCTGCACTTTGTGGCTAATTCCCAAAGAGATTAAAATTTGGCACATACCTTCAGGTATGATGTATATTGCATTTAAAACTCTATGAAGTTTTCTGCTCTTAAATGTTTAGCAAGCTAAAGCTTAGCTACAAAGCAATGCAATTTGATGATATTTCCTACCAACATTTCATAATGCTTATTCATTCTACAAACAGTTTATTGAATAAAAAATACTAGCGAATTACAGAGAACAAAAGGGAAGCATCAGTTGTTTGTTTTTAGTACCAGTAAGCCAAGAGTGAGGTACCCTACTGCCTCCTCCCTCCCATTGTAGAATGTTCTCCATATTCTCCAAGCTGGAGATAATTGTTCCAGGGGCCATTTGCTATGAATCTATATCCTTGCAGCTTTGAGGATGGCAGGAATCTACTTTAAGGACTTGATTAGAAAAAGGATTTACAGTCTGAGAATATAGAATAAAATACCCCGAGAAAGGACAACTCATTGTAGTTAGGATATAGTAAAAGCTGAGAGACTGTCACTTTAAGGGCTTTCATTCTGAAGGGTAAGTCAAAGTGAGCCAAAAGCATTACCACTTTATATAGTGAGGGTGATAAGCTTGTCATCAGACTTGGAGAAAGATTTAGAAAAAAGAAAGAGAGAAAGAAAGAAAGGAAGGAAGGAAGAAAAAGAAAGAGAGAAAGAAGGAAAGAGAAAGAGGGGAGAGGGAGGAAGGAAGGAAGGAAGGGAGAAAGAAAGAGAAAAAGAAAGAAAGGAAGAAAGAAAGAAAGAGAAAAAAGCTGCAGAATTAGATCTGTGGGAGAAAACTTCCTCAGAAATGTTCCCGTGTGATGAATTTTGTAGACACTCAAGCTACCTTGGGACTAAAGCTAGCATATAACATGCTAAGGCTAATAAACAGTTCATGGTCATTCTGGACTCTGGATTTAGTTGTAACATCCAAGCTATCAAACAGTAATAGGTTATGTTGAAATCCTGGAGGTTTGGCTCAGGACATGGATGAGGACAGACATAAGCATTTTTATCTGCTCACTTCAGTATTCCAAAGCAGAAAGGAGTTTAACTTCTACTTTTTCATAACTTATCTGTCACCCAGGATTCCAAAAGTTATATGTACACATGACACACATGACCCTCCCTTAACAAAAAGAAAGAATTTACACAGGGAAGACAATGGAAGGCAGCTATGCTCACCACTATACCACCAACACATGTCAGGGAAGACAATGGGTACCAAGATGTCCCTACTTCTGTAAAAGACACTGGAGAAAAGGATGGGTGGGAAGCCATCCAGTTTGATAAAGGACCCTCTAAAGAGAAGCAAACAAAGACCCTAAGCTTTCTGCCCATGCTCTTCAGATTCTTAGCTTCCTAAGCACTTTAGTGGCTACAACTAGGCAGAAAGTGTTCCCTGGTTCTGTTTAGTTCTCTGGCTTATGCACAGCCAGTAGAGCTCAGCCTCTAAGTTGACTGAGTGCAGAGCCCTCAACCACCCACCTGGAATACAGTGGGTTTTCCCTACATGTCCCAAAGATTCTGTCTCTCATCTGGGGGTTCCGCCTGAGACGACTGCTGCTCAGAGGTTGAGGACTGAAAGCCCCACATGAATTAAGAAGCTTTTGGCTCTCAAAGCTTTGGGGATTATAGGATTGTAGACCCATAGTCTATTTTCATCCATGAACGCTAAATCTCAAATTCACTATTACAGTTCATGGAGGGAACAGAATGGGCATGGAATCATCCACAACCACGTTTCTTTTCATCGTTAAGCTGGGCTAAAGCCACAGTGAGGCATAAGTAGTCTCAGCACTGGAAATTCTAAGGGACTCTATACCCCTGGACCTCTCTGCTCCAAAGGGTGGGAAGCTGGAGTAAAATACAGTTTACAGTGGACTCCTTAAAACTGCAGCAGTCATAGAAAACAGTGTGGGCCTAAAGGGATGGGGGAGGGAGACAGAGTGGCGAGGCATGGAGCCTTAAGTTCTTC